GGTGGGTTCAAACCCAGCCCCAGCCAAAAACTGCCAAAAAAAAAAAAAAAAAAAGATGTGTATACTTTTGTTGGATTTACTCAGAATGGAGACCCCAACAGTCCTTGCTCCATGCTTCCTAACCAATGGGCTCTGCTGTTGAGCTAGCAGAGTTTAAAAAAGAAAGAAAGAGAGAGAGAGAAAGGAAGGAAGGAAGGGAAAGGGGGAAAGGGAGAAAGAAAAGAAAGAAAGAAAATGCTAGACCAGGTATTAGGAAAATTGCATTCCTTGGCTCTGTTCCTAACTAGCTGTGTGACAGGAGGCTGGCCACACAATTGTCCCTATACTTCTTGTTCTGTCTATTAATACTTACTTCCAAGGTGGTTATAAGGCTCAAAGGATGAGTCAGGTGCAATAGCAGTTTCAGAAAGTAAATAGTGCCACTGCACACCCTACCCTTTCTAACTGAGCTAACCAAACAGCATCCCCCCACAGTAGCCAGTCAGTGATAGACTAGCATCATTGCCATTGCCATACATTGATTTCAACTAAATAAAATTGACATAACAGGTGCTGAATAGAAGTCAGACACTCGGGAGCTGAAAAATGAAGAGATTTGTGTAAAATTAAGATGGCAGATTGGTGGGAGAGATAGTCTGCAATCCCTGGCTTCCTTACTCAAGGTGGACTCACAGGATGAAACCAGTCACTAGAATGAAAGCCATCTAACTACTTTGTATTCAGCTTTACTTCCTTTGGGGAGTTGTAGGGGATACAAAATTGAGTTCTTTATATATAATGTAATTTTTCATTTGTATCTTAGCATTTCTAATTATCAATTTTATGCTTAAAATAAAAAAATAATTCAGTGGTTTTAAACTTGGAGCATATTCCAATCTAATGAGGAATGAGTAGCCCTTATTTAGCCATTCTTTACTTTTCAGGGATTTCCTGATATAAACCTTGTGTATAAGATTAAGAAATTATATAGACATTTGAAGACTCTTTAAATAGCATGAATAAGTTTTCATCACAACAGTTTTTAAACATTTATGTGGTTAAGGTGTGAGTAAGCCATTTTCTCTGTGTGTGTGTGTACAGATGCTTTAAGCTATGAAATGTCTTGTTCTGGACTTTAAGAGCACTAGTATCCCATATATCACAGGGGCATTTTAAAATGTTTATTATAAATTTCGAGAAACATTTTACTTCCTATGTAGTATCTTTCACAGTGGGGAAATGGCAGGGCTCTGAAGGGGAACAGATCTCCCAGTTGAAGCTTACTTCACTGCTTCATTTCCTATATGTAAAATGAGGAAAAGAATAGTATTTCATTTACAGTATTATGTGGATGAAATGAAAGAATATAGGGCTTGGCCCCCATAGCTCAGTGAGTAGGGAACCAGCCACATACACTGAAGCTGGTGGGTTTGAGCCCGGCCTGGGCCAGCTAAATAATGACAACTGCAACCAAAAAATAGCCAGGCGTTGTGGCGGGCACCTGTAGTCCCAGCTACTAGGGAGGCTGAGGCAAGAGAATCACTTACGCCCAAGAGTTTGAGGTTGCTGTGAGCTGTGATGTCACAGCACTCTACTGAGGGCGACATGGTGAGACTCGTCTCAAAAAAAAAAAAAAGAAGAAGAAGAAAGAAATGAAAAAATATACACAAAGCTTTGGAAATAGGAGTGGCACATAAGAGCTTCCTAAATGTTAGCTATTAACAACACAAGTCCTCCATAGGGTTCGACTGTGATGTTGATTATATGGAACAAGTATTTTGGCTGAAGCTCAAAAAAAAATCCAGGAAATTTACTACTCAAGCAAATGCTTCTTGGCCTCAGCACAGGAAAGATGTCAACTAAGCCTTCTGGGAGTTCCTAAGCTGCCCCTTTGACTTAGGAGCCATGCTGTAACTGTGTTGGCGTTTACAGGAGAGGGGGCTGGTAAACTGGTCTCAGTGTGAGGCACAGGGTGATAGGCTAGCTGTCTCAAGATTAACCTCCACTTTTTTAAGTTTCTAGTTTAAAATACAAATAAACATTTGAATATTTTTAGGTTTTGAGTAGGTTTTACAAATTATGAATCTTGCTATATGAAAACTAGTTTCTCCTAGATTCTTGGTTGGATTCCTGGATTCCAGAATTAGTGTCTTCTATTTCTGTTGAATTCCTTCCCCCTTTGTCTTCTGTCTGTACCCAGCTTTACAATTGCTTTCAAATTTTACTTCTGGAATTGCTTTTTAAATGGTTTCAGTTTTAAATGGTTTCAGTACTTTGATTCTTTTATTGGTCCCACCCCCCAGTTATTACCCCTGAGCATTTTCCTTATGCTGACAATCCCCAGTCTGTTAGATGCAGTTCTTGCCTTACCAGCAGACGAGGTTTTGTTGTTGGGAGGGAGCTTTTGGAGGGGTGGTGAGCAATATCAGATATCCTTTATGTACGAAATTTAAATTTTCCAGCCTGGACAGTTATGGGGAAAATAACAGATATATTATGTGAGAACTCTGAATTGATATTTTAATGTATATTTTCATGAAAATATTTTCAGTTGCATTGTAAGTATTTACACACATTTGGACTAAGAAAATTCCTGATAAAAATGGTACTGATGTATCTTAAATGATAAATATACCAATGAGAGCCTTCATTGCAGGCTCAGTGCCTGTAGTACAAGTGGCTAAGAAGCCAGTCACATACACCAGAGTTGGTGGGTTCAAATCCAGCCTGGGCCTGCCAAACAACAGTGACAGCTACGACCAAAAAATATCCAAGCGTTGTGGCAGGTACTTGTAGTCCCAGCTACTTGGGAGGCTGAGGCAAGGGAATCACTTAACCCCAGGAGTTGGAGGTTGCTGTGAGCTGTGACGCTTTGGCACTCTACCCAGGGCAACAGTTTGAGGCTCTGTCTCAAAAAAAGAAAAAAGAAAGAAAGAAAGTCTTCTCTGCAAATTGAGCCCTAAAGCACGTTTTTAATGTAAAAGAAATGATTTCATTCCTAAGATGTTGTAACTATATTAAAATTTTATTATTGAGTTAATAACACTAGATTATATTCATATTGCTTCTTCAAAATATTCCAGTGCAGTAGGTGTTAGTTGTATAGTATCTCATAAAGGTATTAATATTATTGCAATTATAAAACCTTAACAGAAAACAAATTTAAAGGGATGAGATCGTGGTATGTGTAACTAGCTAGTTCTCTCCAGTCTTTTCAAACACTAAGGAAAAATGTTCACTCACAGCTTTGTTACAAATGCTTTGAAAGCAGTTATGGTTTGAATGGGTAAATAATTCTCCATACTAAACCATGTATGTTAAAATGTTTCTTTAAAACATTTGAAAAATTAGACTGTTATTCAAATATACCTAAAATAGAAACTACGTTCATCTTCTAATCTTGGATAAAGTTGAGCTCTGACATCTTTTTCATTTTGGTACATCCCATAAAGTCTGTTAAAATCATCATCAGGTGTTAATTTCTGTATTTGGATAGGGAGGTCATGTCAGTTGTTAATTGGAAAAAAAAACAAAAACGGTTTTTTCAGAATATTCTGATGACTCACGTGTACCCAAAGTCATGGTACATTTGCTCCTTATATTATTTTCCTCACCTTTGTTTAGTACTTTGAAATTAATCTTCCAAACCCAACCACCAGGCCTGTGTCGTTTGGAGCAGATTACATGCTGTTTGGTTCTCAGGTAGACCTCCCTCTGGATATAGATTAGCTCTCAGTCACTAGGAAGGAAAGCCAGAGCTGAGGCACACGTAGGCCAGACTTGGTGTCGACGAACCCCGGAAGCGGAGATGGCCACGGATGTGGCACTTGGTCCTCCTTCCACTGAACTACATAGCAGTCAGTACTGGTGCTGTAATAGTTGGGCAACAAAATCCACTCTGTTAGTTGAGTGATTTCCAATTAGGGATTTACTCTAACCCTTTTTGAAGTGTATTTTAAGCAGATGATATAAATGTGTCACTCATGTGGTAAATGAAATTTGTAATTTGGGATTTAAACACAATATCAGCAACATCATCATATTTTCACATTTGCTTGGCTTCTTGATTCTAAGAACAGTATCTTTTAAAATGTTTCAGTTCTCTTCGGAAGATTAGTTTCATGTTTGTGCTATATAGTAATAAACTACTTAAATAAGGTTAAGTGAACTCATATTTAGAATCTTTGTTACTTTAACTGGGAAATGGAGTATGTATGAATTATTTTTAATATGCAGTACTCTGAGGACAAAGGCTGTAGGAAGTTTCAAAAATGAACAGACCTACTTCTGGATATAGATCTGCTCTCAGTCAGCTAGAGGGGAAACACACCCTACAGTCCCCATGTAGCCAGGCTTGGCTTGTCCAGATCCTCAGAAGCCCTGTTTGCTCTTGTTACCTGTAAAATGAGATGGAAGAGAGAGTATCAGCACAGTCATAAAGAAAGACACGGAGAGCATGGGGGAATGGCGGGGTCAGAATGGATGAAAGAAAATGGACTAATTCTTTAGGAAGTAGGATAATAGCAATGAAGACATGGCAGGAACCAAGTTAGGTGTCATGTGAGTGGAACAGTTGATGTAGTAGACTTAAAAGGTCAGCTAGGTATAATGCATGTCC